TCTCTTCTATTTTTCATATCCAAGTAGTGCTTGGCATTTTCATCATTATTTTGGTGTTCAGCTTTAAGATGCACACTTAAGTATTTAAATTGTTTAAACACACGGGAACAGTCTGTCCCCGGACATGGGTACAAGTCTCTGTCTTGCAGGTGGCAATCTTCTAATTTGCTGAATGTGACATATTCATGAGATTCTCCTTTGGCTTGTTCATTCAATGACTGATTTTGCTCCAGGGTTGCAGAGGGGCTCTTGGGACAAATACTCTTTTGAGAGCCTTTTAAAAGTAATTTCTTTCTAGAGCGTTCCCTTCTGCTTGGTGGCATTTTAACATGTTCCATTACATGAGGAACAAATATTTCTTTTCTCTTGAACTTTCTAATACAAACTGGACAGGTGTAAATTCCATCTTCCATATGCATTTTAGAATGATGAAGAATCCGAGCCTCTATACATTCCCGCTTACATAACAAACAGAAAAACTTATACTGAAGCCACCTCTGGTATCTTTCAGAAGAACCAATGGGTTTTTTGTCTCTTTTCTCCTTATGCTGATCTGTCAAATCTCTTCTTCTAAATTGTTTATCTTCTTTACCTTCATCATAGTCACTGAGAAATGACTCTAAAACATCTGTGTCATTAATTGACATTTCATAGCCACTTAAATCATCATCAGAATCTGAGGCTTCTTGTCCTAGGAGTTGGTGGCAGTGTCGTTTTAAAGTTTTCCAGTCCCAAAATTCAGGATCAAAAGGCCAGTGGGCTTTTAAAGCTAATAATAACTCACATCGAAGAGAATTTGGAACGGGTGCATTTTCTTCATCAAATTTTTGATCTGGTTGCAAATATAGTTCTTCCAACATATTAAATCCATCCAAACTGGGTTCAATTAAGAATTCTGTAAGCTGGCAGGCTCGTCTAACTTCTAAATCCTCTGGTAAAAGACAGGAAATTGTTTTACAAACTGATGCCTTCATCTCCTCATCCTCACTTGACCTGAGTTGAAGAGCTCTGACACATAATAAAATTGACACCCCAAGACCAGCATCTTGTGCCTGTAAGAAAAAGAGGGAAGAAAAGTTATTGTTAAATATATAGAGAGATTCATTCCCATTAACAAGCTATTTTCGGTCTTAAAATCTTTATAGAGTTTTAAAATTTCATCTTAAATATTTGTCCATGCAAATTACATTTAGATCCTTCATGTTTCAAGAAGCAAAGTACTAGATTAGAAAGATGTTACAGCCATGAACAATAATGATATATATATTTATGGAATATCCAATTATACATGGCATAGTATATTAAAGCATTCCCTAGTACTGGGGCTATAGCTCAGTGGCACAGTACTTTTCTAGCACATGTGAAGCACTGGGTTAATACTAAGCACCATGTTAAAAAAAAAAAATGCAAATAAAATAAAGGCATGCTGTCCATCTACAAGTACCAAATAAATAAATAAAAAATAGTTTATTTTTTTTTAAAAAGCAGTCCCTAATGCTCAAGATAATTATCTATATGCCTGATGATGTATAAACAATAAATACCTATGAATTCAAAGGAATACAGGACAAATAAGGATTTAAAGAATGATAGTAAGGTGGGTAAAAAGGACAGGGTTTAAGTAAACAAGGAAGAGGAAACTGGTATAGAACTTAGGCTAAAACTGAATTCAATTTAAGGAACACCACTGTTTCATGAACACTTGGGTTTTTCAAAACCCCAAAGCTAAAATCATGATTCTTTTCTATTTTCTCCTAAAAGAATTCAGTACTTCACAGACATAGGTGAACCAAATCTCAGTTTTCCATGGAAAAAAATATCAGGAATTAGAAAAATATTTCTATCATAGTAAATTCTCAGAACAGTCAAAAATCAGGAAGATGATCTTGTCTGAGATAAAGATTAGTGATTATAAAATAATTCTGTATCTGAGAGCTGAAATGGAATGTGAGAATACCTGAGAAAAGAAGTGAGATATGTGAAAGATGGTTTAGAACGTCGTGAGTAAAAGTACAGACCTTAAAGGCAGAATCTGATATCTTTGAACCTGATTTACTACAAGAGATGAATTTCTCAACTTCCTTTATCTTCCTTACCCTCTCTTTTCTTCACTGGTAAATTAACAAAAGTGGTAGAAATTAGATTTTTCTACTAAGGTTGTTATAAAAATGAAATAGGACAATATAAAATGATTGCTACAATGCTGGCACATAGCGAGTACTCAACAGAATACCATGGAAAGTAACAGTAAAATCCACTATTAAACAGTAAACAATTTATAAGCAATTATTCTGCATTGAGCATCATTGTAAATACTGGAAACATATATACTATTAATTAACAGAATCCTAATTATTATATGTTCTAAATAAAGTCTTTTGCATACTTTATCCTCATCTGTAAATAAAGAACCCAAGGCTTGGGAGGTTAAAATGTCCAATGGCAATACCAGCTAGTGGGCAGAGGAGCAAGGATTTAAACATATAGCATCCTTCCAGGGCTGGAAGTCCTAATCACTTTTATTATATACTGGCTCCAATCTTAACTGACTTGGCTATATTCCATGTGCCCTTGATACAAATATGCCAAGCCACTCTTGTTCTGGGAACTTCCTGGTTTAAAATCCAACAATTTCTTTGTGTCCACAAATTTCTTCAAAATTCAGCTCCATATTCCATATCCTGATTCTAATTTATTCACCACTCCTTTAGCCATTAAGTTCTTGGTACATCTGTTCAGAAGTATAATGGTATTTCTAGTTATTTTTTTTAAATGTTAGAAATTTCACAAATTTTACCATCTCAATCATATTAGAGTGTTTAAGAAAGAATGGAAATTCAGTGCAGTTTGCTTCATATAGTCTTCCAAAAGGAGTTAAGTAATAATCACTTGGTGAGAGCCTGTGAATTATCTTAAGATTTACCTGACTTTCTTCACATCTTCTATGCTCTTACTTATAAATGACAACCTTACATCACATTATGCAATTAAATCAAGAGATCCAAGCTGGGCATGGTGGTACACACCTGAAATCCCAGCAGCTTGGGAGGCTGAGGCAGAAGGATCACAAATTCAAAGCCAGCCTCAGCAACTTAGTGAGGCCCTAAGCAACTCACTGAGACCCTGTCTCTAAATAAAATATAAAAAAGGGCTGGAGATGTGGCTCAGTGGTTAAGTGCTCCCAAGTTCAATCCCCAATACCAAACAAACAAAAACACAATCCATCCATCCATCCATCCATCCATCCATCATCCATAGTCTAGCCCAAACTGCTGTGAATGAGCATATGGTCCTTATATATACAAATCACATCTCTCATTTTCAGCTTCTTTATTATTAAGAAAGGATTAAACTAGACAAAGTCATATTTCCTAAAATAGTAATACCACAATATATTTTATCAAAAATGAAAACATATTAAATGGTCATATTAAAATAGGTCCAAGATGACCCCCTTTCTTATATCTACTTCATGTGTATATAATATGTCAAAATACATTCTATTGTATAACTAAAAATAAAAAAACTTAAAAAAAACCCCCACTAACATTCATTTTGCCACACTAATTTTAAAGTTCTAGATATATTCATGATACTGAAAAGTCATCCTTTTCACTTATGACTTTCTTAAATCACAGAATCAAAGTTTAATAACTCTCTAAATTTAAATCTCCAAATGATGGTCTGGCTTAAGCTCTTTATTTATAGAAAACTAGAGAACAGAAAATAAAAAGGCACTATATTAAGGATGTTTCTATTATGCATTTTTTCTTTCTGCAAGAAACTAAATATCCATACAGGATTTTCAGCATCATTAACTTCATCCATCCCAAGTCTGTCTTTTGTTATTGCTGTTTATTGGTATCAGGATTGAACCCAGGGGCACTTAACCACTTACCCACATCCCCAGTCCAAAATTTTTAAATTTTGAGGCAGGGTCTCACTAAGTTACTTAGGCTGGTCTTGAACTTGCAATCCTCTTGTCTCAACTTCCCAAGTTGCTGGGATTACAGGCATGCACCACTGTGCCTGGCTCAATTTTCCCCTTTTTAGAGACAGGGTCTCACTTATGCTACCCAGAATTGTTTTGAACTCTCAATCCTTCTGCCTTAGACTGAGCAGTTGAAATGGCAGGTGCACAACACAGTGTCCAGTGTGGAGTCTCAATTTGAAAGGGATTCTCACTCCTCTTTCGCCTACCAATTCATATCTCATCTACCTTTTACACTTTCACAGTTTCTTGTGGTAAGCAGAATTATAAATTATAAAATGACTCCTAGTAGACTCTCACTTTTATATAATCTCTTCCCCTTGAGCATGAGTTCAGTTTGTAAATATACAGTTTCTAGGAATCAAGAAGAGATTTTGGTTGATAACCAGAAAGAAAAGAGGAACCTACAACTAAAAGGAACGAAATTCTGTCAACAAAAATGAGCTTGGAAATGGATTTTTCGTAGAGCTTCTCATAAGAACTTACCTTAGCTGACACCTTGATTTTAGCCTTGTGATACTCTGAGCAGAGAACATTTTTACCCTTTCCTGTCTTCAGTGGAGAAGACTAGATCAACATATTTTTAATAAAGGATAGGATTGGGGAGAGGGAATGGATTATCAAAGATACAACTGTGCTTTGACTTTAATAAAAATACTTCTTGGATGTTACCAAATAAGTAATTCATAAACATAAAATCATGAACCTTTATAGATATGGTCATATTAAAAGCTCAGACATGAGCAGACATGAAAAAGGAGGGGAAAAAAAGTATAACAACTCTTATCCCAAACCCTTATAAGAATAAATTTTGTTTAGGACGCTTCATTTTATTTTAGAAAACACACCTTTCCTCAAAATATCTAACTTATCTCCTATTTGTTTGTACAGAAGTTTATAACTTGTATAAAAAATAGATTATTTTGGAACTATTCTAGTATGTTAAAATCTAGAAAAGGTACTACTTCATTAACAGGGTAAAAAAAAAATTATTTTTTTTCATTTATAATACTAAATTAATTAGCAAGCAGACCTGCCTATATAAAATATGCAGTATTATTCTAGGAAAAGATACAGGAAACATAATCTTCCCTTCCCCTAGGGAACATGGTCTTCATTTCAAATTACTACTTTCCATTAAAGAAATCAGCAACAAAGAACCTATGGATTCCTAAGAGACAATATGCAGAAACAGCTAGACATAGCCAATTCCATAATGTTATTAAACTTCATTATCACTCATCTCTTCTCTCTAGCCACAACTGACATAGAAAGCATACATTACTCACTTCAGTCTGTATAACTCTAATCAAGCAAAACAAATGCTGCTGTGTTTTAGCTATGACACCAAATTGGCGACAGCGCTCCAAAAAAGTATCTAAAGAAGGGTCAATTCTTCTTTGCAGTTTACTCCAGAAGAGAGTCAGCTCCCTATAAAAGAAAAAAAAAATGTTAAAGCACTTAAAGCAACTAGTATTTGCTATCCCACTCCTAAAAACCTCCTAAATTGGTAACATTATTAAGAATCCTCTCTGAAAATTCCAAATTCTTTCTTTCTTTTTTGTTTAAAGAAAAACAAAATCAATGAAAGACTACTTCTTTTATGATGGCATATAAAATCTCTTTATTTATATTCCACCTTGTTCTAAAAGGTCTTTCTTTGTAACACTGGTAATTAATTATACTGACTGAATTAAATGCTGTCCTATGAGGCAAGCATCATTAGACTATATTACCAATGAAATCTATAGAATTAATAAATATTCAATGGGCACACTTCTATACTGATCTTATTTTATGTCTTTCCTGCTCTAAAATGTCATGATGCTACTTAAGCTAATAAAACTATGTAGCCAAGTGCAGCAGCACATGCCTGTAATCCCAGAGTCTCTGGAGGCTGTGACAGGAGGATCTCAAGTTCAAAGCCAGTCTCAGAAGTAACCAGGCGCTAAGCAATTCAGTGAGACCCTGTCTCTAAAAAAAATACAAAATAGGGCTGGGGATGTGGCTCAGTGGTTGAGTGCCCATGAGTTCAATTCCCAGTACAAAAAAAGAAAAGAAAAAGAAAAACTTATGTAAAATGGCACTCCAAGAAATGGCTAAAGGGGGGCTGGGGATGTGGCTCAAGCGGTAGCGCGCTCGCCT